TCTGTTATACAGATAGCGCAAAATAAAGATCTAAACTAAAAGAGATCTAAAAGAAGATAACCCAATCAAAATTGTTATAAAAATAATAAATTGCTCACAAATATTGGTTATATAATATTTAAGAAATATAAAGGGAAAGCGTTGCCATTAATATATTGCATATTTGTTCTAGTCATCTGTGATATTCTTCTCAATCTGTCAAGTCCAGAAATCAAATGCAAAGATAGGTCAGTAGCAAGGTGTATACATGCATTTATGGTAAATAATACTTTAAATTTGCTTAAAGTTTGCATTAAAAATCATTCATATAATAGATATTTAGTGAGCTATAGAAAATAACTAGCCAGCAATGCCAGAAATAATGACAGAGATAGCGGAAAAAGAAATTAAAGAGGTAAAGCAAGCAGTAAAGAAAAAATACCAAAAGTCACAGGCTGAGAATATGATTGAAGAAGATAATGGAAAGGAGATTGAACATACGACGGGTTTCTTTTCCAAGGTAAAGTGAGTTTTCTATAATATAAAAATAACTACAATAGTTGCATATATTAATTTTCGTATATAGGAGAAATTCTCCTACGGAAATTATAATTTGGCGTGTATTTGTGTCTTTCCTCATTTCCAGAAGAAAGGATATGGGAGGTTGTTGATCGAGCTGAGTTAGTATATGGTCCTTTTTTCCTCTTGAAAATCATAAACAGCATCTAATAAAAATATTATAATAATAACTAGGTTACGAGCTTTCAAAGCGTGAGCGGAAGGTTGGGTCCCCAGAAGAGCCGATTAGCCAGATGGCAAGACATGCGTACATGTCATACTGGCGAAAGGCTCTCTTGCGGACCTTTTGCCATGCGAGTGATGAACAAATCTCCACTTTCAACGTTGAGGACTTGTCGCAGATGACAGCAATACAAGTTAACGATATTAATACTGCGTTGCGATATATGGGGTTGTCAAAGTTGTGTAAGAAAGGGACAAGGAATACGTTAGTGATTACCAAAGATATGATTATGGAGTATGTAACGAAGTCGGGTGAGAAGTGGGAGAGACCAGAGTTAAATGTTAGTTTGTTGGTGTGGGAGCCGAGGGATTAGAGGTGGAATTATAAGCGTCAGTAATTAATAAAAAAAATATTTTATTTATTGAATAAATTTCATTAATATTAATTAGTTTGATGATTGTCAAATATAAATTATTTGACAAAAATGTATTCATTGCGAAATAGCCTAAATAACTTTACGCGTGCGCGTTTAACTTCAAAAGTGCTCGCAACTCCCTCAAAATCTTGTCGTTTTCAACGTGTACCTGGTAGTTATTCTTTCTGTACTAAACGGGAGAATCTCAGGGCGTCTTCTAAAGAAAGACAATTCACGCGTCAAAAAAGGATTTTTTTTCGCTCTTTTAGCTTATTAAGGCCAAATCATCTTTTGCAAAAGTCTACTATCCCGAAACAATTCATTTCCCAGAATGAAACAGCAATTTCCAGCTCGATAACCTATACTAAGCCTGTTGTCGGCTACTGGTTACTTGGAACTGCAGCACTAGTATTTGGAATTGTCATATTAGGTGGCTTGACCAGATTAACTGAAAGTGGGTTATCTATCGTAGAATGGAAGCCTATAACTGGCGTGCTATTACCCATAACAGAGCAGCAATGGAAAGAAGAATTCAAAAAATACAAACAATTTCCGGAATACAAAAAGTAAGAAGAGACTCGAAACCAAAGATTTGATCTTGATTGAACTAATTCGAAGAGTTCTTATTCTGAACAACAGACTCGACACTGAAATGTCATTGTATGATTTCAAATTTATTTATTTAATGGAGTGGGCACATCGAATGTGGGGACGCGCAATCGGCCTGTCCTTTATTTTACCAGCTGTTTATTTTGGTGCTCGAGGCTACATGACTAGGTCAACTTCGTATAAAATAATCGGACTTGCTGGACTTCTTGGATTTCAAGTAACGCTTTTTGTTATAATATTGACATCGAAATAATAATAACAATAGGAGTTCAGTTATATGCTTTGATTATAAGGGATTCTTAGGTTGGTATATGGTAAAATCGGGACTATCTGAAGAATTAATGAACGACCCCGGAGCTGTGCCACGGGTCAGCCATTATAGGCTGGCAGCACATCTGGGTAGTGCTTTTTTATTGTACATTGGGATGTTACTTACTGGCTTACAGATCCTACGAGACGCAAAAATTGCTAGAGGGACTTTTCCTGCGGTGTGTAAGAAAGCAATTTATATTTAATTCATGTTAATAAAAAATGAATTTAATTTGAGATGGATTTCATAGTCAATTTCCAAAGCTCTGTTAAATCCTGCAATTGCTATGTTCCGTCGTTCTGCTATTGGCATTGCAGCATTGGTATTTCTAACTTCATTATCCGGTCAGTATAATGTAATTATTACTTTAATTTCTCAAAAATAATAGTTGATTGATTAATTGAAACTTTAGGTGCCCTTGTTGCCGGATTGGATGCTGGCTTAATATACAACGAATTCCCATATATGGGAAAAAATATAATGCCGCCACAAAACGAACTATTTTCGAAAAATTATACTCGCCCAGGTGATGCTTTTGCATGGAGAAATTTTTTCGATAATCCTACAACTGTGCAATTCGATCATCGTATTATGGTTAGTAGAATTAAAAAAGCTTTTATGATATAATCAAATGTTCTCTCTAATTAATTCCGTCGTTCTTAGGCAACGACTACGTTAGGAGCAATTATTGCTTTGTGGGTTTATTCGCGTCGTGTACCAATCACGGTGAATGCTCGTCGTGCAAGTAATATTCTGCTAGGTGTTGCTGGGATGCAAGTCACATTGGGCATTAGCACTTTAATATATATGGTCCCAATTCCTTTGGCTTCTGCGCATCAGGCAGGTAGTTTGACCTTGCTAACTAGTGCACTGTGGTTGGTACATGTAATGCGAAGAGTTCCACCATTGATTGCAAAATCGAATGGTTTGAAAAAGTTATGAGATTAAAAGAACCAAAAAGGTTTGCTTATATATTAACGCGTTCAAATCATTAAACCTTATTTGTCGTCATAAACCTCCTTAAGTATATTAGTATAATTATTTTGCCTCTTAATATGGATATATAAAATATACTGCTATGCTTAAGTTAACTCCCAAGCGTTAATTTGCTTTTTGTTTAGCGTATTCTGAGGACGTTCCACGTGGAAATCTATATTAGTATCTTTTTACATTGGATCAGAAATAAAAATAAAGACACAGAAAAACTTGAGCTTCGCATAACTTCTACGAAAGTTCTTTTCATTTATATCGTTATACTTACTTTAAGGCTTAAGACGGTTTCTAACATCGATGTCGTTTGGGGATTACGTTATGTTGATTTAAAGTGATTTATAATAGAAAAGTGAAATAAAACTTCAAAATATATGTTAAAGAATTTAATTGAATTAATAACTAATAATATATACTGGTTATTAAGAATAATAAAAAAAGAATTTTTTATTAATGATAATTAATTATTTAGATACTAAATTATTTATAAATAATTAATTAATTAATTAATTTAATAAATTCCTAATAACTAAATATGATTAATTAATTTAAAATTTATATGATAATATAATTATATTAAAGTTATTTTATTAAATTTATTATTAAAAAAATATAATAGTTATTATAAGTTAATTATAATGACAACCAAAAGTAATATATCAGGAGTTAAATTTATTAATAAAACATAATGAAAATTGAAATTTTCTCTCTATATTAAAATTTTTAATTTTATTAAGAAATAATTTTTAATTTTTATATTAAAATAAAGTTAATTAGTTGTAACTTAACATATAGTATGTAATAAAAAAACTTAACTATACTAAATTTATTATAAATTCATGAATATTACATCAAATTTGATAATTAATATATTATTTAAAAGTAAAAAAGTTACAAAATAAAATTTATTAGACTTAAAAATTAATTCATTTACCTTTACTTTCAATAACTAACTCACAATGATATCTTATCAAATTTATTAAATTAATTAGAATAATTTTTGAAATAAAATCTCATTCTTTTCTAAAATATTCAAATTTTTAGATATTCATTTTTTAATATTATTCTGATTCATAAATTTTCTATAGAATTAAGATTAGTTTGAATAGTTTAGATATAAAATAGATATTTTTATTCTAATAATATAATAAGCTATATATTTTTATTTATAAGTAGTTGATAATATTTTAATAATAAATTTTATAAGAATTTATTTAACAAAATATAGTAAATAAATCTATTATTTAACTTTAATTTAGTAAAAAATAATATAGATTAAGCTAAAATTAAAGATATTTATTTATTATCTAATATAATTAATAAATAAATAAGTTTTTTTTATTATATATTATATATTTTTTTTAGATTTTTTCTAAAAGAATTATTTTAATTATAAAGTTAAAAAAAATATATTTGTGATAGTACCAGAATTCTTTTTATAAAAAAATTTTTAGTATTTTGATATAAGTATCTTATTAAAAATATTAATTAGTTATTCTAAAGTAAAATTTTACAAGAAATATTTTTTTTAGGATACAAAAGATAATTTTATATATAAAATTTTAAATTATTATTATTTTTTGAAAAATTATTTGTTTTTTAAATTTTTTTAATCTTGTGATTTAATTTATTATTATTTTTACTATATATAAATTCTATAATTTTAGTAATTAATCAAATAATTTGATATTATTATTGATAATAACAAATAAATTCATCTATAAAATTAATATAAAAATTTTTATTAATTAAAAATAAAATTTAATTAATAAAAATTTTTGCATTAACTTTATAATTAAAATAATTCTTTAAAAAAATCTAAAAAAAATATTAAATTATAATTAATAAATTTTATTTTAATATAAAATAAAAATTATTTCTTAATAAAATTAAAAATTTTAATATAAAAAGAAATTTTTATTTTTATTATATTTTATTAGTAAATTTAGCTTTTGATATATTATTTTTAATTATTATTATATATTTATAAAAAGAATAATTTAATAATAAAAAATTATATTAAATTATATAAATAAAAATTATTAAGTTAAGATTTTTTTATTTAAGTTTTTTAATTATTTTAGCTATAGTAATAATATTCTTAATCTATACTAATTGATCAAGAATATAATATTATTTAACTATAAGAATTAAAAATGTTCTAGATTTAAAAACATCAGAAAATTTTTGAAAGCATAGTTTTGCATAGATCTTTAGGTCTAAAATCTGCGCAAAACTTTGAACCTGGTGACAATTGGTAAAGAAAAAAAAATTAAAAAATCTGTGTAAATCTGTAATAAAATATAGATTTATGTAGATTTTTTAATTTTTTTTTTAAAATTCTGTGCAAAACTTCACAATATCAGTTTCAAGTAGCAGTAGCAATTTTAAGTAATTGTAACAGTAGCAATTTCAAGTAACTGTAGAATTCATAGGTTAAATAATAGTAAAAATATTTATTTTATTATAAACTATATATATATAATAAAATACAAATTTA